TCTTATTTTATGTATATGGCAACTCTCAAGGTTGTATGACAAATTATTTCATCAAAAGCAATTTCTGTCCCATAGAGATGTTTGTGGCAGGTTTTGGGTTTTTTCAGATTTGCCTTGTGATGTTAGATGCCCCGTTTTTCCCACAATTAAGTAAGAACTTTGATGCCTCTTATGCAGCTATGTTTGGCCAAATACTCAAGTGGAGAAAAGAGAACTAAAATTAAGAGAATTGCATTCAGATGAAGTTCAGGTTCTGTGTAGCCTGAATTTCCAATATAGATAATTCTGAAATGCTCAGTGCATGTTACAAAGCATATGAAGCGCGGTGTGGTATCTTGCTCTGTAATCCCTCTGGTGAGTACACGCACTGGAGCTGACTTCACTGAGGAAAAGGACAGTCCATTAGCCACCGGATCAAAGCACTGGGGTGCTTAGTGGCTGCTAGTGGCACAACTCAGGGTAATAGCACCCTGAGGAATATGGAGTAATGGAAATAGTCTCCCAGCTGGAGCTTGATCAATAATACTTGGAAAAGCTGCCTACAAGAGCTTTATCAGACACTTGTATCCTGACAGGTATGGTCTCCTGTAGGGAGGAGGGAAGGAAGTGGTGTGAAAACAGCACCCTGTTTCTTGGACTTTTGTGGCTAAATATCACTGCTAGTTAGATCTATCCCTAATGCAGCTCCTGCAGTCGTTTGCCTGGAATTTGAAGTTATTTCAATTTTATGTGTTGTTTTTAAAGTATCGAACTATCTAAAATGGCATATTTGTCTTCAAGGAAATCCTATACCTTGATCCCTTTTCATATTAGGAGTTAAAAAGAACACATTTCAGCATAGCGTCTGCCTTTATTTTAAAATAAGTGTTTAGACTCAAATATCTTAATTTATCTATATTTATATAGAAAATAAAAATGTGTGCCTTCAGCTGAAATGCAATTCCATGTGTAAACAGCATTTCACTTTTTACCTTTTTTTTAAATCTGCGATGAGCTCTCTTAACTAAGATCTAAAATAATTGGTACTGTTCTTCTGAAATACTGTAAAGCTGCGTTTTGGGGGGGTTGTTTTTTATAATGTGGGTTTTTTTTTTTTTTTTTAATTTCCTTACTTTTTCACAAAAAATAGGGGGATATTTGCACAAACCAGTGGAATAACATTGGCGTGAGGCTTGAGGTCTGGATGAAAATTCCGCCAGCATGTGCTGTTCCTTGGGCTCCAGTGTCACAGTTACTTTCAGGATTGCTCCAGCGACAATATTTTAACACAACTTTTCTGGCCATTCCTGCTGACATTTCTGGGTTTAGTATGAATAAAATACTAGAGCTGTAACCAGAGTTAACAATTCTGTACTACAATATTTCAGTTGAATTGCAAGTTATTAAATAAAGCAAGCCAATTTCTGATCTTACTTAATGTACATTTCCAGTAATTCAGGATCTGATGTCAACAAAACAAATGTTTTAGTGCAAAGAAGTGAAGTAATCAGATTATCTTTCAGGAAATGTATAGTGTTTATTTCAAAGTATTTTTCACGTGATACAGAGCTAGTAGAAGGATTCACAGTTTACAGGGTAGTAGTTTCAGTCAGATGGACATAATGACATTTCTAGTACAGTCTTTGGTTCTTGGCTGTGATGGACTGGAGGAATTTCTCCCTTCTCACTGGCTGTGCAATTCTCCTTCAGTTCTCTGCCCTGTCCCCATCTCCTTGAGAGGTGTAGCCTACCTTCTCTGAACTCACCATTTTTTAGTTCATCTGAGTCTTTCTGGGCTTGTGTTTGTTATAGAAATGATCTCTCAGTAAGAACACACAGGACAAGCAGAGCTTATGGGTTATTATGGGGAAACCCAAGAGTTGGTTTTGTTGTGCTCTGCAGGTGAGTCTTTTGCCTCTCTTTACATCAGCTTTTTACACTGCTCATTTGGCAGATCACATCTATTTCACCACAGCCAAAGATCTCTAGTTGTTTTTCTGGGCATTGCCAGTCATGCAGGTCATGTTCCAGACCATAGCTGGGCCAACTTTTATGCGCTGGAGCCTCACATTAGCAGTTAGATGTAGTTGTTAGTGACTGCCACGCTGAAGCCATGCTAGACCAAGGAGATAAGGAAATGATGCAGGATTCACACAACTCATGCATGCTTTCTCTGACATCTGAAATTTAGGTAATCTACATTATGAATCTAATTACAAGCAATCTGGGCAACAGAAATCTCTGTGCATAATTTATGCATATCTCTAGAGCTTTAAAGAGTGAGTCCTTAAACGCATATGGAACTTTAAAGTTATGAGTATCCCCTTTGTCTTGGTGGACTGTGAACTCATTCATACCAAACGGTCCTATTTTCCTGGTAACGATGTATGTAAAGGAGGGAATGTATTTAGCAACAGCAATATATATGAATTGACTGAGATTGACTTTCCACGTTTTGGGTCCCTTTGAGGACTCTGGCATTAATGCTGCTGCTGCTGCTATCCCTGAATTGGTCGTGTTTATGCAAACTCCATGCAGTGCTGTAGGTTTGTAATACCACTTAGAGGCATTTAATGGAGGCTTGTGATTCACAGGGAAAAAAACCAATATGATTTGCCAAAGAAAACCCCAACCCAGAGGGGAAGCAATTTTGTGTTCTTTATCTTGGATTATAATGACATAAGCCTCTAGAGACATTCTGATAGCTCTAACCAGGGGTTGAATGGAGAGCAGTCAAGAGCAATGAAAAGGAAAACCCTTGCTTTTTGCTGCTGTTGATGAGTTTCTGATCAGACAAAGCAATGAACATAGAGACTCGCTGAACAGACTGGTGGAGCTGACCCATTAAATTAAATTTCTCCTGTGTTGCAACTAGATGATCTCAAAAAGCTGTGTCAAGTGTTCCTGTACATCTACAGTGGGTAACCATGTGTTTTCACATGGTGAACAATGATGAGCATTCAGCAAATAGCATGATTTGTGAATAAAGGTAAAGCTAAAGGCAGGTAAGGTGAAGCAGTGTTCCTACATTGTCCAAATGAATTGATGTGGATTGATAGGATGTATACCAGTCTTGACTTCAAAATAATACTTTAGCTGGGTTCTTCCTGGGGACATCAGTCCAGCTGTCTGAGTCTGCTTGTAAGATGAGAACCTGACCATCATTTTGCACACGCCATTGTGTCGTGAAAGTTTATACTTCCAGATTAGTTTATACTTGTATGAGTTACACATCAAGAAAAATTAGAACATTACCTTTAAAAGGCTCAGTGAACAAAAAAAACCAAACTCATTGAAAAAGATTTTCCTTAATGTTTGTCCTCTAAATACTATCTGGCTATTAGTGAAAAATACGATTTTTCTCAATTCTTTGTTCTAAACCATTTGTTTTTCTTTTTTTCCTGAGACGTGAAATTTATTGAGTTTACTGAAAAGGTGGACCATTCTTAGTTCTTTCTCTTTTTAAGCCACACATTTTACAGCAGTATAATACAGTATGCTTTGCCAGCAGTTTGCATAAAACTTGTTGTTCATCCTAAATGGAATTAATATATTTGGAGAGCTAGGTCTCCCCCTGCCACATTCTATTGTCTTTCTACAATAGAATTTGGGCACTTTTTTCTACTTTGAAGTGCTGTCCTCAGCTTCAGCACAAATTGGTTTACAGTGAAGAATTCACTGATAGGGGAATGTCTTGGGTATCGAAGTATGTAGGTATGACCAAAGTGAAAGATGTTTCTCTTGACATTTCAGTCCAAAGGAGCACAGCTGATTACTACCTGCCTTATAAAGATGCCAACATGGCATCTTAATGAGATCCTCGCAGGCATGTGTGTGAGTCTCTTGTCCAGTTCATAACTGGTCATGCAAACATCCATGATCCACTTTGTGACAAATGAGTGCCAAACTAATGAGAGTGGTTACATACAACCCTCAAAAGTATGACTTGCCAAAAAAGGTTGTTCTCTGTCTCTCTGAGAACTGCAGTGTATTGTGGATGGGTTGAACTTAAATCATGCATGAACAGATCAACTCTGGAGCAAATATGCAGTAGTTTGAATATGCCAGGAAGGACTGGATTCAGCATGCATGTGCTGATGACTTCACCTCTTCAACTGTGGTAAAGACACGTTCAGAAGTAGATACCAAATGTGCACAGTCCTGGAATTTTCCCCGTGAGAGTACATGGGTGGAGCCCCAAACCAATTAGGTTTTGAGAATACACTGTGGTGTATTCCAGAAAGACTGGCAGTAACTGTTTAGTCAACAGTCGGTAAGAGAAGATTGCTGATAAGAGGCAGGTCATTGCGGTGTGAGAACAGCTGCTATTCCTCAAATAAGGCAAGACTTGGTTAGAGAGAATTCCTGTATGTGGACCCTGGCTAGTAAGTTCATAATGCAGATAAGGAATGGTGAGGAGCACTGGTACAACAGCAGGTGCTGCTTTACAGTGTGTCTAGACAATTAGGTGATAAACTGCTAGTCTAGCAAGAGAAGTCCAATCTCATACTCTGATTAAGAATCTTTTCAAAATCAGACTGCCGTTTCATTGGATTTTACTTAAATCTCATGATGTTTAGATTCTGTCTTAAATTCCCTGGGTTTCTGTAATTATGAAAGCATGATTTTTTGGAAGCTATCAGCTTTGACTGCTGCATGGAAGAAGTTGAGAACGTCAGTTATAAAAGTTCAAATATTAAAATATGAATTAAAGAAACCTCTGTGGTGTAGGAAATTGTCAGTTGTTATAAAAGTTCAAATATTAAAATATGAATTAAAGAAACCTCTGTGGTTTATGAAATTGTCAGTTCATGACTTGAATAGTTTGAAGTGATGAATTATACTGCAAGAAACTGTGATTTTTATTCTGGTTTGGTGTATTTAAAACATAAATATTTATTACAAATTTCTATTCCCATTTACAAAATATTTGCTTTTTGTAAGTTCCCTTTACTATGATTTGATTCTGATGGATATAGTTCCAGTCACTGATGCTTTCTTTTTTTTTTTCTCTTTTTCAGTTACACCAGCAGAGTTGTTTCCAATGGACTGAAGGCACAAATTAATAATCCAGAACTGAAAGTCAGAGGATTGGACCCACTCATCAGTAATTTAATTGATAAACTTCAGCACTTTAATCAAGTAAGTAATTTTTAGAGATAAAAGCATTTTATCATGGGGTTTGATAGCAGAGCTGAAGCTAAAATTACTAGGTGTACTGCTTCTCATGTTATGTTTCCCAGGGTCATAGGCCTGAAATAGCCATGGAGTGGGCCTGGTACTAAAGGCAACTGAAGATTCTGTTGTGCCAGCTGGTTTATGAACTCTAACGAGGCAAAATTACTTCCCTGGAAGTTGCTCTAATTCCTGGCTGTTGTTCCATAGCTGTTGATTAACTGTCCTACAGTCCACAGTCCCAGGAACATGGAGGAACTCCTGAGTCCCACAGTTCACGTGAAGCTTGTGACTAGAGTCAGGCTGTGTGAGCGCCTTTAGGAGTCCTGTTGATATTCTTGTGTTGGAGGAATATCTCCTTGTTTGTGCAGCTTCCTGTTTTTCAGTGGTGTAGATATAAACAGATCAAAAGACAAAATGGGTCTATAAGGATGTGATAACTGAACTGTACGGCATGCTGAAGTCAGGACAGAAGGTGCTCCAGGATGAATTAACCTTGCACCTTTGAAAACATTTCCTTGACAGGCCTTGTTCTCGAGCCCCTCAGCCCAAACGGAAAGATAACCTACCAATGAGTTTGTCAGAGGCATGATTAACCTGTGTCTGCCTCTATCATCTATTTGGGTTTCCTCAGATGCATTTGCAGTCCTGGTGCATCTGCTGTCTTTCAAAGCTGAATGCATGGTTCTCTGATATTACTGCTTTAGCACACCTCTTTGTGAGCTCTTAAAGTAGTGCCAGTCCAAATGAGCTGGAGCTAACAGATTTAAGAGAGATTGATTTTCATTTAAAGTAGGCATGTTTTCTTGTCAACTTGGAAGAATGCTTACAACAGTGTGTTCGGAGTCAGATGTGTTTGCACATTAGTCTACTCGTAATCTTTCACTGTTAAAGAGTGATGGAGCATGGGGATATAAATAGTTAGTAGAAAACCACTGTAAGATTAAAGTCCACCTTTGCAGGTGGGGTGTGCAGGAAGAAAAATAATCTGCACAGGTAAAACGGGAGGAGGAATTGCTTAGTCAGGATGTGGGAGGTTATTAAGACTGTGGCTGTGACCGGGAGTCATGATTTGATCTCTTATTTGCTCCTGCAAAAGTATGACCCTCCTTTACCTCTCATCAACCACCGGTGGTAAATCTATATCTAACCAGTAATTAGTGTTTTTGTTAAATCTTGCTTGGCTCTAAAGTTCTACTATTCTGTAGGCTGCAGTTTAGGGATTCTTTGTATCACACTGTTTGATTTAACTTGCCATGGGGGATTACAACAACCAGTCTGATGCGGTACTTAATACTACAGTGAAATAGACATTAGGTAGTCAGATTGATGAAAAGGATAATTCATTATTTATCTGCCTTTGCATGTTATAAAGTAGAGTGTTAATTTACTTTATAAATATTAGATATATCCATCTGTGTAATAGTCTTCTATAAACACTGACAATAGGAAATAGTTAGAAATAGATTAAATTAAAAGTAGCTGTTTATTGGAATTGTATTCTTTGTCTGCTGTAGAAAAATAAAAATCTGAACGGTCTCATAATGAGCTGCATACCAACTTTCTTAAGTTATGTATGTTTAAAAAACAGCTTCAAAGAACACTTTTTAGTCAGAAAAATAAAATCCAATTCCTAGATCTTTCTGTAAGTTGCAAGTGTTGCTTTGTTACTTCTGTTTTAGGAGACTATCATCCTTAAGTAAATGTAACTCCCATCAGATTGAGGTGCTTAGCAATAATGGATTCCAAGGGTAAAGGATTAAACAGAATACTGATTATTGCCCTAAGATGGTTTGTTCTTAAGTACTTGGAATAATATAAATTCCTTTGATCGTAATTTTAGTAAGATTTCTTCAGAGATCAAAGCATCAAAGAAGTTGCTGAATATCTAAGGCTTTCACATACAACATCAAACATGTGTAGCTGTTTTCTGCTTCTTGAATTTTCATTTCAGTTATGATATTAATATACAAATAAAACCTGACACTGAGAAGCCGATTAAATCAGGAGTTTAAAGTGTCATCACTAGAGTGTGTAGACTGTATAGAGGAAGAGTTATACAGAATCCCATTACTCACAGGCAAATTGATTTCATTAAAATATTTTTTTTTTGGAGGCAATATGTAAGATGGAATTTAAACAGTGATAAAATAAGGCGTTATCTTTGTATCTTCTTAAGTGTTTGACATTTGCAACACCATTTTAAGCAATAGTTGCATATACAGAAGCAATCCTAGAGAGGCAGGAAGCCTGGAGAGCAGAGAACAGAGCGATGCACAGAATGTACATCATAGGTGATTTGATGTGTCTAGGCCCTAATAATCTTCTACCACTTAAGTAATACTGCTAAACTACCCAGAAGAAAGCATATTCTTGGATAAGAGAAAGATGTGCTGAGTTTTTTAAATGGAATTACATTTCTGTCTTAAGAAAACAAGCTCCAGCCATGCTGGATCTATCCCTCAGAGAGCCTGGACCTCTTGGCTTTCTCCCTCTCTCTCTCATTGTTTTGCAAAGGTGCATGTTTTTGAAAATCAGAACAATTTGCTGCTAGATCAATTTGCTGAGGTTGTGGAGTACTGTCAACTACAGCTATGTTCAAATCAGCAGGATTCATTTTTCTAAAAGATGTACCTTAGCTCAGCAATTCTTAATGATTTCTGGAGCAAATCTAATCGCTGCTGTCTTCGATAGATCCTCTTCCACCTCCTGTCTTCCACTGCTGGACCCCAGCTCCTCCTCATCACTCTGCAACTACTGCTGCAGCCTCCTTCCCCCATGCTGGCAGTCCCAGACTGCGGATGCAGCAGCGCGGTGCAGCAGGGTCAGTGGGGCCTGAGGTAACATGGGCCTTTGGCGACTGGGGTAGCAATGCAGTGCAAGGCTGTGAGCAAGAGTAGCTTGTCACTGGCCATGCAGAAGTAGCAAACTATTCATTCAATTAAATCCAAAACTGACAGTCTTTGGTGTACAGCAGCCATTTCTTTGTTAGCTCCTTATTATGACTTATCCACAAATGTAAAGAGACTAATAACTTCATTGATCCTAAATCCCATGGACACAAACAGAACTCTTGTCAATGTATTATTGTTCTATTTGGTGCATGCCAACTCCAGCACGTTACAAATAGTCTGTACGCAAGTTGTCTTCCATTTCTGCCTGTCATTTAGGCTGAAATATCAGTTTGTTGGAGATCATAGCAGTTCCTCATTTTTTTCATCTGGGACTTAAATCCTCACCACATAGTTGTTGTTTTTTTAAAAAAAAAGATTATGCAAATAGCAGGCTATTTCATAACCACTTTGCAAAGCCAAAAGTAAAGTGAAATTTAGAGAATATTGTTCAACAATTAGTTATTTGCATCCCTGGCAGATAAGGTATTTGAAGGGTTTATTGTAGCTGCTGATTCACATATCAATAGAACTACCGAGTTACCATTTACAGTAACTTTTACTTTTAGTAATGCAAAAACAGATCAAGTGAAGTCCCAGATTGATTTTGAAGAACTAGCAGTTAGAAATAACATCTTTTCCTCCCCTTTTTTTGTGAATAGAGCAGATGTGAACTGCAACTGATAATAAACATAAAATCCCCCATTGCGCCTTTTTTGACTACTGCTTCTTGCCACGTAATCACACTTAAATATGTTTTAATGTTTTTCTTCAGCATAATGCTTTTCACAGTTGAAACACAAGTGGTTCTGAAGCCAAGGTTAAAAATCCTAAAGGATCAATTGCATTGAAAAGCAATGAGAATGTTAGGAAAAAGTGAAAAAGCTTTGACTATAACTTTACTAGCAGGGTTGCATGGGCATTCTCAAAGGATTATAATATAATAAGTATTATACAAGTTTAACTTATTTGTCTTTTGTCAGCCTAAATCTAATCTTGACAGATTTTGAGAATCAGTGTGTTTTGCTGTTGTCAGTCAGAGATGAATGCTTAGGGCATGGCTGTAATTCAAGAAGACAGTGCAATATCTTAGCGCTTAAAATGAGAGCAATGCCAAAGCAAATCTTGCTGAATCTGGTCCCACATATTCTTTTTTTTTCCCCCACCAAAGTCTCATGGATCTGCCAGCTGAACTAAGAAATGCATGTAACTTGAATTCCTTTTAGATTCATATACAAAGGATGCCGTCATAACAAAGTTTGAAGCAGCAGCACTGAGATGTTTCTTATCAATAATATGAGCTAGCCATAATTTAATCTCGAATGTGAATTTAATTGGGTTAGACAATAGAGAATAATACAATAAATCATTTAACTACTACTTAATTTTAAAGTGTATGTATTTTTTAGACATCTATAAAATTTATTACATTATAGACTTTTTATATTAGATTTAAGTGGAGACAAGTTGGTTTGATTTTCGTCCAAACTTGTAGCTGACTTGGACTAAGACTCAAAATATTCTGTTCTTCATTTCATCCAATGCAAACATAAAAAGAAAGGTAGTCATCTTAGAAAGACTGTTGCTATATTACTTCTAGTACTTGGGATTTAAACAGCCTCAACAGGAACAGAAATATTATTGTGTGCCCCCCACATACCTCCCAAAACCTGCAGAGACTTGTGTCCCTTACAAAACAGAGCACCTTTCCCAGAACTGCCATATGTCTGGATTTCTAAAACAGGTCCTTTTTTTTTTTCTATCCAAAGCATTTGGAGACTTTGGACATTTCTTCAGGATTTCAGGTGCTCCATATCCCTTTTGGAAGTGTGAAGCAAGACATCTGGAAATCCTAGAGATATTCATTCTCTCTTCGGTGGCTAACCAAGCAGACTATCTGTAATCTGAGGCATTGAATTTAATGCAGATGCACAGATTAATAGAAAAAGACACACTGAAGTGATTGGGCCCCGGTTCTAGTTTGTAGTGTGTACAGCGTACTGACAATCTGTGCACACGCAGTACGCTTTCAGGGCTTTCAGGATATGTTGCATGCAGACTCTATTATACAGGTAC